CTTAAAGCATGTGTTTGCGTTAACTCCCAAAAATATTGTGTGCTATATCGGCTAGTCTATGCACATTTTACTGCTTAACACGCTAAGTGGTCACGAGAAATGTGAGGCTCAATGTTTGGTATGTTTGTCAGGCATAGCACATGTTGAACATTCTAGTGTGTGCAGGTTTCAACTTTTCTAACGCTTACTATACACAGCATGACCATTAAGAGAGTTACGGTTATGAGTCCAGCGGTTTTGCCCTAGTAGGTAGGTTATCGATCGGAGAGTCCAGCGGCTTCACGCCTAATTATCCACCAATAGTCCTCAAACAGATAGGAAAACTGTAAGTCCAGGGGAGCATGCATGCCAGGTAGGGGGGTTTCGTGTGGTGTCTTCTTGGGCCTTTCTGATCGCGTCCTGATCGGTTCTCAGCCAGTAGCGGTGGTGAGTGGGACTTTTTGGGCAGCGAGATAGTGGTCAGCCGTTGCCTCTACTGGGGAAGGCAGCTGTGTTGGCTGGAATAATCCATTGGGGGCAGAGTGGTGTGGGCTGGTATAGGCCGCCGGCCAGCCCCAGGTCATTGTGAAGGCCAGTACCTGCGGTCCACAGACTCGGTGTCTCTGCGGGGTCGGGTCTTCCCTTCGTCGGGCGCCATGGGAGGCCTGGGTGTTACGTCGCTGCCGGCGGTTAGGCTCCCTGCGATGTGGTCAGTACCATGCAGGCTTTCTCCCTGTGGCCTTCGGCCTGGGAAGGCTTTTAGTGCGGTCTATGTAGCTGGTTCCGTGGAGTTCGCCACGTGGTGACCATCCCCCTATCCCTCTTCCGACATCTTGTGCTGCTGCTTCACGTTGAGACTGCTGGTACATGCTGCGGTCCTCCAGGCGTCTCCAGAACCTCTGGAAGTGCTTGTCAAGCTGTGCCATAAAGTAGGACACAGAGTAAGTGCCCTGTTGATCGTACTGTGTGTACTCTGGGTGCTGTTGCTCGGATGCCATTTTGTGAGGCCTTCTGGCCATTTCGCTTCGGTTGCAGAGTGGCCTGGCAGCATCCTGAGCTGTGGGTCCGGGGCTGGTGGGGACCGGGATAACCCCCACCGGTCCAAAAGGGGGTGGGATTTGCAGGGGCCCTTGTTGGAGTGTGAGCGTGGTGCACCCGAGAGAGAGCGGCCGTCCCTCCCTCGGCTACCCCGCCTGCCATGCTGAAGATCAGGTCGCGCCGCCGAGCTCCAGTTTCTGCTGGGCTATCGGTATGATTCAGGTACCGTTGGGCGTCTCGCCGGGTGCCGGTCAATCCCTTGTGTCAGGTTGCTTGTTTCTGGCGTGGGTAATCACAGTTGGGTCTGAGTATATGCCCGCTGGCACCGGAGCCAAGAGCAAGTGCGTCCGGCCATGTTGGCTGTCAGGCCCCACCCCGCTTATTGATTTTTTTGATTGGGTAACTAAAGTAATAGATCAGGGTGGTGCAGTAGACATTGCTTACCTAAATTTCAGTAAGGCTTTTCACACTGTTGCACATAGGAGGATTATCAATAAACTGCAATCTTTAAGTTTGGATTCCAATATTGTTGAATGGGTAAGGCAGTGGCTGAGTGACAGGCAACAGAGGGTTGTAGTCAATGGAGTATATTCAAAGCATGGACTTGTCACCAGTGGGGTACCTCAGGGATCTGTACTTGGACTCATTCTCTTTAATATTTTCATTAGTGATATTGCAGAAGGTCTTGATGGTAAGGTATGTCTTTTTGCTGATGATACTAAGATACGTAACAGGGTTGATGTTCCAGGAGGGATAAGCTAAATGGCAAATGATTTAATTAAACTAGAAAAATGGTCAGAGTTGTGGCAACTGACATTTAATGTGGATAAGTGCAAGATAATGCATTTGGACGCAAAAACCTTAGGGCAGAGTACAGAATATTTGATAGTCCTAACCTTAACATCTGAGGAAAGGGATTTAGGGGTGATTATTTCTGATGACTTAAAGGTAGGCAGACAATGTAATAGAACAGCAGGAAATGCTAGCAGAATGATTGGTTGTATAGGGAGAGGTATTAGCAGTAGAAAGATGGAAGTGCTCATGCCATTGTACAGAACACTGGTGAGACCTCACTTGGAGTATTGTACACAGTACTGGAGACCGTATCTGCAGAAGGATATTGATACTTTGGAAAGAGTTCATAGAAGGGCTACTAAACTGGTTCATGGATTACAGGGTAAAACTTACAAGGAAAGGTTAAAGGAACTTAACAAGTATAGCTTGGAGGAAAGACGAGACCGGGGGCATATGACAGAAACATTAAAATACATAAAGAGAATCAACACAGTAAAGGAGGAGACTATATTTAAAAGAAGAAAAACTACCACAACAAGAGGACATAGTCTTAAGTTAGAGGGGCAAAGGTTTAAAAATAATATCAGGAAGTATTACTTTACTGAGAGGGTAGTGGATGCATGGAATAGCCTTCCAGCGGAAGTGGTAGAGGTTAACACAGTAAAGGAGTTTAAGCATGTGTGGGATAGGCATAAGGCTATCCTAACTATAAGATAAGGCCAGGGACTAATGAAAGTATTTAGGAAATTGGGCAGACTAGACGGGCCGAATGGTTCTTATCTGCCGTCACATTTTATGTTTCTATGTTTCTTAGGTATATGCCATTGGCCCGATGGCATAGAGAAGTTTATCTTGTGCCCCTTTGAAGCCACACTTGACCCCTTTTGTGGGTCCCTACCTCCACAGGCCATATACGTCAGCATGAGTGGATAAAATTCCGGCATGTAAGCCACTTTATCAGCAAGCGTAGGACGAGGGCATTCAGACCTCATGTGTTTACTGACATCCTTATCAAGAGGCTTCCGAAGCCAAAAATGCATTAAACTAGCTAAGTGCTCTGGAGGCGACCAGTCTCGAATGGGGATGGCGGATGCTTCGTGGGTCAAACATTTGTTAACAGTTGGCATCTAGAAAAACTTCAACATCATCCTGGGAACCTGGACCACCGCCGGCCACAGCGTCTTCCTTCTGGGGCTCACCCAGAAATATTTTCTTGAGGAAAACAGTCAGACTTAGATTTAGAGCCCCAAGGACCCTCATCCAAGTCAGAAGCTTCCACCTGCCATTAGTCCAGAACCAATAGCGTTCGTGGTAGGTTTTACACAAGTCTTAGAACTTTCACCCTTCCAGTGGTGTTTAGAAGGGTGGGAACATATCCTGGAAGAGTCCGAATCCTTAGAGTCCGCCCCATAATGGGTCCACTTGAAAACCATTTTTGCGGGATCTTGGTCTGTAGGGAATGCCTTAGAGCCAGGGATTGCGGGAAATGTCCCCCCTCTGAGGCAAAGGTAAGCAGGGAGGTGGGACAACATTATTTTTAATAAAAAAATCTCTATCTCTCTCTCTCTCGCTCTCATATATATATCTCTCAATTTATTCTCCAACCCCCACCACGCAATAGCTCCCCAGTACATACACACTGTGCCCCTAACACAACCTGCTCCCTCCCACACACTTCACCCCCCCACACACTGTACCCCTCATACAACTTGCCCCCCCCCCACACACACGCATGCACTGTACTCCTCAGGCACAAACTGCCCCACATACACAAACACTGCATCCGTCACACACACAAACTACATCCTTCACAAACACAATGCATCCCTGTACACACACACTGCCAGGGCCGGACTGGGGATACAAAGCAGCCCTGGAAAAAAAATTTGTGCCAGCCCCATAAGTCACTGCGCCATATATTGTCACGTGTAATATGTAAGGCTATGTCTTGCCAGGACAGATGATTGAGTAATATATATATATATATATATATATATATATATTGCTTTTTCTAATATAAAATATAGGTCCTTTCAGGGTAAAACGTTTAATTATACAGTAAGCATACGCACATGCAGACACAGGCAATTTCACTGACATTTCAGTGACACACACAAGCTCATTGATACACAGCCTCATAGACAAACAATCTTACTGATATACATCAGCTCATTGACATAAAAACACAAGCTCACTCACTAGCAGGCACACGCATGCAAGCAAGCTCACTCACTAGCAGACGCACACACACAGCTTAATGTGGTGGTACTGGTGTCTATAGCATGTCCCTACAGGCTTTTCAACGTAAACACTGACTTTTCAGACAAAAGGCAGTGTTTACATTGCTTCAAAGTGACACTGCTAGTGACAGTCACTCAGACGGTCACTAGAGGTGCTTCCTGTGTTAGTGCCCTCCCGCCCTCGCGCGCTGCTGAATGAGACTGGCGCCGGAATATGACGTCATATTCCGGCGCTGGTCTCATTCAGCTGCGTGCTGGGGAGCAGAGCCAGCGCAGCTCGCGCAGCTCCCTCAGCGGCCGCCAGGACAAGTCCGCCAGCGGCCGCCAGGACAAGTCCGCCAGCGGCCGCCAAAAGACCTCCCCAGCGGCCAGGGGAGGGCTGGCAGCCTTAGGCCTGGGGGGAAAAACCAGTCAAGTAGACTGGTGCACCTGCCCAGGATCAGAGCCGGTGCAAGGATTTTTGCCGCCCTAGACAAAATAAAAATTTGCTGCCCCCACATGTCACATCACAATGCCCCACCCATATGATCTGCCATATGAACTAACGCCAGTGCTGCACACAGTGTGTGTTTACATTAAAAAGCCTGCAGGGACCAGCTATAGACACCAGAACCACTTCATTAAGCTATAGTGTCCCTTTAATGTGAGGTAAATTATAGATTAGTGTCACTAATAATATACTAGATTGCCTACTTACAAGCAGATGAGGATGATGATGGGCTGCAGTTTGGCTCCACTGGTCTGGTGTAGAACAGGATCTCTGGAGCTGTTTGCAACTGTGGTCACAAAATTCAATGTTCTGGGAGAATTGGAAGCAGCTCAATTTTTTGGGGCCCCTTACACAGCTCAAGGTCTGGGCCCCAGGGCCTGACGGTGAGTATGCCCATAAGGCCCACTCATAAGTTCCACCCACCCATGAGTTCGCTCACAGGGAGTGGAGTGTGTAGGGGATGTGTTATGTGTTATTGTAGAGGATCTAATATGTGTGCTTATGGTATGTAGTGTTTAGGGTTACCAGTTTGTGCAGGTGATGCAGTGTGTTTGTGTGCAGTGGAAGCAGTGTGTATTTGTGTATAAGGGATGTATTATGTGTTTCTGGTTGTGTGTAAGGGATGCATTGTGTGAATCTGTGTTTGTATGCATAAGGGATGCAAGGTGTGTGTCTGTATGTGTGTGCATGAGATGCATTGTGTTTCTGTGTGTATGTAAGAAAAGAAGTGTGTGTGTGTTTGCATGCGTGTGTACGGGTTTGCATTGTCATATACAGTTTCTGTGTATGTGTGCAAAGGATGCATTGTCTTTGTGTGTGTGTAATGGATGCATTGTGTGTTTATCTGTGTGTAAGGGAAGCATGTTGTGTTTCTGTGTATGTATAGGGATGCATTGTGTGTGTGTGCGCGCGTAGTGTGAAAGAGCTCCCTGTCTTGGCCCCTGTCCTATAGAGCTGCCCCTTCTTCTTATCCCCCCCCTCCCCTCTTCTTATTCCCCTCCCTCCCCTCTTCTTATTCCCCTCCCCCCCTCTTCTTATTCCCCCCTCTTTTTATTCCCCCCATCTTATTCCCCTCTCCCCTCTCCCCTCTTCTTATTCCCCTCCCTCCCCTCTTCTTATTCCACCCTCCCCTCATCTTATTCC